AGCTAGCAATGTCAGACTTTTGTTGTGATAAAGCCATTGTTGTATTTTATTTTATTTTACTTTTTGTCAGTTGGCAACAAAAACCATTCCTAATTAATAAAGATGATGTTACTAATGATAGAAGCCTAGCGAAGTCTAGAAGGAAGCTCATTTTGGGAGGCAGAAATGAACATGAATTTGAGTTGATATCGCAGCATGCCTCCATTACTGTAGGAGGCAGTATAATATAGTAGTTGTAACACACCAGGCTGCTTAAGTTTAAATCCTGGCTCTGTGAGACACTAGCTATGTGAACTTGTACAAGTCACCTAACCACTCAGTATTTTTTAGTTCCCTCAACTGTCAAATATGGATAATACGGATAATAACATTTCTCTAACAGAGAAATGGTTGAAACTGAGAATAGATAATATTTTTAAGAGATACTATAGAATATATAAAGATAAAGGATCAGTAATTAATATCTGCATTTTGAGATGTAGGAATAAGTCGAGTCAATGGAGGAGATTTTATTTATTTATTCATGAGAGACACAGAGAGAGGCAGAGACATAGGCAGAGGGGGAAGCAGGCTCCCTCCAGGGAGCCCAGTGTGGGACTCGATCCCAGGACCTAGAATCACCACCTGAGCCAAAGGCAGATGCTCAACCACTGAGCCACGCAGGCGCCCCTGACTTTAGAACTTAACCACTACATAAAATGTAGCTCCACTGTGAATATAGGTCTAGACTGTTCTGTACTGGGTATAATTGTACATGTGTGGTAGCAGAGGCTAGAGGTAAACGTTTGGCCTGGGGAGAAGAGGTCATCTCCTGGTTCTTTTTTTTTTTTTTTTAATTTATTTATTTATTCATGAGAGACACACAGAGAGAGAGAGGCAGAGACACAGGCTGAGGGAGAAGCAGGCTTCATGCAGGGAGCCCGATGCAGGACTCGATCCCGAGTCTCCAGGATCATGCTCTGGGCTTAAGGCAGCACTAAACCCCTAAGCCACCCGGGATGCCCTCATCTCCTGGTTCTATTTCTGTTCTCCCTACACCTACTAGCATTATGAAGAAATTGCTTAACTTCTGTCCTCCAGCTTTTTCCTTTGTAGATTTTGAAACCCATCAATGTAGCACATAGGAAAAATGTAATAAATATTATTTGACCTCTTGAAAAGTGATCTGCCTTTTAGATAATAAAGGCACTTCAGTCTTTGACTATGTTATTAAAATAGAACAGAGGACTTGCCTATTTTAAAATTATTGTTGAGCAAATCACTGAATCCCCTTTTGAAAAGCAACTATGAGATAGTTACTGAGTTTACTCAGTTATCTTAAATTAAAAAAAAATTGTTTTCTCCTAACTATCCAAGAAATATATGTTAGAAAGTTTGGAAATTAGAAATATAAAAAAAATACCACTAAGTCTTTCATTCACAGATAACTTAATATTTTGTTGTATATCCTTCTAATCTTTTGAAAATATGTATTTAAAATGATTTTATCCTGAGATTAAGTTTTACATGTGGCTTTATATCGTTTTTTCTTTTAACATTATATAATAAATATTTTCCCAAGTTTACCTCTGAAACTAATAATACATTATGTTAATTAATTGAAATTAAATTAAAATTTTTTAAAAAATTAAAAATATCTCCACAACAAAAAAAGAAAAATATTTCTCAAAGTTATTAGATAACTTTTGTTATCTTTTATTTTGTGTAGTATATCAATTGGTAATAGCCTATGTAGTATAGGTAACCTAGTTTAGAATTTTTTTTTCATGTAGATTTTATGTTATCCATCATGGAGGGACTTTAAGCTTAGTTTTGACTTCTAATATGAGAAAAAAAAAACTAAAGTTTTCACTTTTGAGAGAAGTTTTTAGAATCAGATTTTCAAAGCAATGGTTATTCTTTTTAAAAAGAAAACAAGTCTGAAAAAATATTCTTAATAGGGTGCTTAGGAGCTAGGAAAAGTGTTTAAAAGGCATGTTGCAAGTGACACCCTAATATTCCAATAATTCCTTATTTATCTCTTTTTATTGTTGCTGCTGTTGCTGTTAAATCATCTTGGGAAAGTAATTTAAGTCCTTTGAGGCTCAATTTTCCCATTTATAAAATGAGAGTAAGCTCAATAATTTCTAAAATTTCCTTTGGCATTCCATATTTATATGTCCTAAAATTATTTCTTCCCTGCCATATCATGTTTAGGTACTGATAGGTTATCATTTACCTTACTGCTGAACTCACTTGTCTTTTAATATACATTTTAAAAATAGGTTTTATTTTTTTAGAGCAGTTTTAGTTTCATAGCAAAATTGAGGGAAAAATACGGAAAGTTTCTATATACTCCCTTCCCCCATCAACATCTCCCACTAGACATATATTCTTTTTTTTTTTTAGACATAATTCTAATTGATGAACCTACATTGGACACATCATCATTATCATTCAAAGTCTATAGTCTACATTAGGGTTCACTCTTGACGTTATATACTCTATGGGTTTGGAAAGATGTATAATGATGTGTAGCTATCATTATTGTATCATATAGAATAGTTTTCCTGCCTTAAAAATTATTTGTACTCCACCTGCTTATCTCTCCCTTTCTATTAATCTCTGGCAACCACTAGTCTCTTACTACCTCCATCATTTTGCCTTTTCCAGAACATCATATTGTTGGACTCTTACAGCAATATGTAATATGTAAGATTGTCTTCTTTCATTTAGTGATATGCTCTTAAGGTTCCTCCATGTTTTTTATGGCTTAATAGCTCATTTCTTTTTAGTGCTGAGTAATATTCCATTGTCTGGATGTACCACAATTTATCCATTCAGCTACTGAAGGACATCTTTGTTACTTCCAATTTTTGGCAATTGTGAATAAAGCTGCTATAAATATCCATGTGCAAGCTTTTGTGTGGACATGACTTTCGATTTGAGTAACTTTTAATATGTTTTTTCATTGATAATCTTTAAGAATATTTTAAGTAAATCACAAAAAAAATAGAAAAACCATAATTCTCAAAGCCTAAATCAATAAATATGCATAAGGGGGCCTTACACTACAAGTCCATATGGAAAAAGTAGGTATATTTTATAATTAAAGGATAGAGGACCCCTTTCTGACATTTTGCCCTGGGTGACAGATTTGAATCTTAGTTGCTGAGCCACTAATAAACCTAAATGACTTCTTTATTGATCTTGAAAGAAAAGATGAAGAGATGATAATATTAGCTTTGTTGTGCTGACTTGAAAATGATACAATGCCCATTAGATAATGGACTTTTACAAGTGACATTAAATGATATAAAATGACAACAATTTTGGACTGTATTCCAGCCATTGGCTGGAGATGAAAGAGGCCTGATCACAAGCCAGCTTCCTCTGTCTTATTTTTATTTTCTGCACTTTTTCTTCTTTCTTCCTTTTTAAAAAATAAAATGTAAATAAAATAAATTTGACCAATATATACTTTAGGAGAGCCATATGAAATTATAGGTTAAGATTTTCATTATATCTAGTTTTTCTAAGTACTTAATTGGTTTTACATGGTTCATTCCCATTCAATTAAAAAATGTATTTCATGTTAACTGTCTCATGGAAATATTTTAACATTGTATCTGTATGCTAGAGCTACATATTTATTTTAGCCATGTTTCAAGAGAATCTATAAATGCAATATATATGAATTTGATGATCCTTCAGTTGAATATTGACATTTGGGAGAATTTAGTTTTTACCCCTGAAATTATCCTTTAGAAACAAGTTATAATTAATTGATCATGATTAATGATGTGTAAATGCTGTTGATATTTTTCAACATTCTCCGTAATTCACATTAACTTTTCAGAATCCTTATAGGTCCTGGTAATCTATAGGAAACTTTGTTTCTATCAAAATGTCATTCAAAAAATTTTTATTCATTTTTAATGAAAATTGTTTTAATTTTTAAATAGAATTTGTTTAACAGAAAGATTTAAAGTGGTTTAGACTGGGTTGTTGGATTGTTAATGAATCCCAAATTGACAGAGGGTTATAAAGGTGGTTGGTCTCCCCGCAAAATTCCAGGTATTTTTTTTTTTTTTTTACTTCTGAATTATGTGGCTTTAGAAGGTAATACATAAGGTGTGGATTATTACTATGCATAAGAATACTATTTTTCATGTTTACTAAATTATTGCAGAAATATTTTTTCAAATATGTGACTCTGAAAAGACTAAACAATTTTTAAAATAACTTTTTATATTGCTTTTGGTCAGTTTAACAATTATGAGGTAAGTTGCCCCATTTTGTAAAGGACAGTCAGGTAATTTTGTCCAAGGTTTCATCAAGGTAAGTTGTAGAATTGAGATTAGAATGGATCTTCTGACTTAGTTTAATGATTTTTTTTTAAATTTTTTTTTTATTTACTTATGATAGTCACAGAGAGAGAGAGAGAGAGAGAGAGAGAGAGAGAGGCAGAGACACAGGCAGAGGGAGAAGCAGGCTCCATGCACCGGGAGCCTGACATGGGATTCGATCCCGGGTCTCCAGGATCGCGCCCTGGGCCAAATGCAGGCGCCAAACCGCTGCGCCACCCAGGGATGCCTAGTTTAATGATTTTTCTACTGTGTAATGGTACTAGTCTTTCACAATATTTTCCTATAGTCAGTGATACCATTTTGTTTTATTGTCTATTACTACCAAAAGAAGATAACTCTTGATTCTTCAGTAAACCTTTAAATTGGAAGGTGATTAGAAGACTTACTTTGAGAGGGGTAGGGTGGGAATGAATGTGCTTTATTTTTGATGGTCTGCTCTTAATGGAGAAGCAGATATTTAGCTATAAGTAATCTCTATAATGCTATTGAACTTGTTGTCTTTTAGCCAGAACAGTGAAACAGTGGTATGAATAATTATAAATGAGAAAAACTAACAAGAGAGATTCAGGATTAAAACATTAGATTTCCTCATGTTGTCCTACTGTGCACTCTTGCATCCAATAAGGGATTTTTCTGTACTTTTTGTTACAGATGCTGAAAATTTCTTCTAAGGAGAAATATCCCTTGTTTACTTTTGTAAATGGTCATTCCAGAGACTATGATTTTACATCTACAACCAATGAAGAAGACCTTTTCTCAGAGGATGAAAAGAAAAGATTAAAAAGATTTAGCACAGAAGAATTTGTCTTGCTCTAAAGATTAGCATATTTGTGCTTGTTGAGAAGAATTCCTCTGAAGGGGGAAAAATGAAAAGAAAAAAGTTTACTTGAAACTGGCTTATTTTCACACATATCTTAATTTTATATGTTCTTTAAAAAAAAAAGAACATTTGGAGATACACAAGTTTTAAAGCTATTTTTCTGAAAGAGATTTAATGAATCTTTATTTCTAATATCAAGTGATTCTGGCTGCATTTCTATTTCCCAAAGATCTGCTAACAATAACTCTAACTTAATTGTAAGCCTTCCAGTTTTCAAATTCTTCCACCTGAGGCCACTAGTCTCTATGATTTTGTGATATAGGCCCCAATATTGGGATCACCAAATAGGTTCAAAAGCTTCTATTTATACTAACAACCAGAAGACCAGAGAATGAATTTTTCAGTGCTGCAGAGCCTCCTGATATTAATCCAACCAAAGGATACTTATGGATGTATCTTGATATACTAAATAGCAATTGTTAGATGTGATATGCATATAATTATATATGTAGAATTGTGAGTTAATGTAATACTTAGCAATATGATTTTATAATGGCTCCTCATTTTGCTTGCTATCAAGCCTTCCCTGAGGAGTGAATATAAAGTATTGGTTTTCCCCAGAAATTTAAAGGTTATGTTATTAATAATAACTTCCAATCAAATCAGATAAAGGCAATTTTAGGATAGGAGTAGTATTTGTTTCCTATCTCAAGAAATGGATTTTTATGGGAATTCTGCTTATTAAGGAGCTTTTAAATCTAAAGATAAGTACTAAGAAAGATAACGATAGATGCTCCTCTATGTGATTTTTGCTATTTGTATGAATCAGTGTAGTGGTGTTTAGAAGCTGAGGCTATCTATAAGGTAAATCTACCTTAAGTGTATTATGTGTTACTGAAAGGCAAATTTGTGATATAGAAATATGAGTTATTATTCAGCCAGGATTATGTACTTTAATAAAGATGTGAGAACATAAAATATCTTTGTTTTGGTTTTAATAGGAGTATTTTAATCTTTAATTTGAAAAAAATCATTGTCTCATATGAAGTATATTTATTTATAATGAAGTCAAGTAATATTGTTTCTCTGTAAGCAAAATATTAACTTATTTTATGGAGCTTTCATGTTTCAGTGTGGAAAGGTGACTTACAAAGACATAAATTGTGTATCATTTAAAGTCATTGATCTCTTCATTAGAAAGCCTATTTATTCAGGTTTAGAGTTGCATGCAAAACTAAAACAGAGAGGGCAGATTGCTTTAGTATGCCTGATGAGAAAAATCAGGTTTGGCATTTCTATGAGGACAGTTTATTGAATTGATATAAATGGCCTGAAATCTAAAATTTTCCTTTACTCCAGATAAAATCTGGACAAATTAAGTCCAGTACTAATTTTCCTAGAATGTCAAAGCAGTACAATAAAATAAGAAGCCAGTAGTATGCCTGATTTTATGTACTGCAGTTGTCTTGTCTAAATTATTGCAGTTTGTTCTTTATATACACCTGCAGTATTCACAGGATTTTACAACAAAGACATCAAATGAGAGTACCCAAACCTTCAAATGAATCAGGACTGATTGTTGTAAGTATTCTCTTACAAGAACTATATAAAAGTTTAGACTTCTACTATTGCATTCTGTTATTTTCTCAGCATATTTACGGATCATTTAAGTGGTTAATATTAGATGTGGCCAAAGTTGAGAGGAGGCAGAAACTTCCTTTACATTGAATTATACTGAAAATACTCAGAATGCTGTGCAGACAAAACAAACCAATCTTACAATAGTCTTCCCTATGACTGAGAGTAAATGTGTACAAAATGATCAGCAATAGTATGCACATAAAAAGTACTTAATACTGTGTATAGGGGATCCCTGGGTGGCTTGGCGGTTTAGCGCCTGCCTTCGGCCCAGGGCGTGATCCTGGAGTTCCAGGATCGAGTCCCACACCAGGCCCCTGCATGGAGCCTGCTTCTCCCTCTGCCTGTGTCTCTGCCTCTCTCTCTCACTCTGTCTCTCATGAATAAATAAATAAATAAATAAATAAATAAATAAATAAATAAATAAACTTTAAAAAAAAACTGTGTATAAATGAATGCATGGATTCATGAAAATTGAGATAGGCTGATTGATTTATCTTGCTTGTTAATTCAACTTCAGCTGAGGAACAGCCAAAAGTTGTGCTAATGTTTTATTGAAAATGTAGCAATAGAACCACATCATTAGATTTAGAATAGAGGTACCGTATATTCTGGTTTCAAACTTTGTTTTGAACACAGATTTCATTTCAAGTTCTAACAGCCAGAAAACTTGGTCAGTAAAGTTTATGGATGATCTCTTCAGGTTGGAATAAAGGAAAGTAAAAAAAAAAAAAAAAAAAAAAAAAGATACTAAGATGGGTATTCTGTTAGAATTATTATAGGAGGACCTTGCATTTGGACATCAATATTAAGATACTAGCTTTACCATTAACATTTCAGAAATGAATTTTTAAAATTCTTAATGTGACTTTTTGATGGTGAAGGTTTCTTTTCTCTCTTCCTCATAAGATTTGACACTTTGAATCCCCTTTTGTCAATGTATTAACCACCAGCAGGCAATGTTGAGAGTCATTTGTTGAATGAGTGAATGAAGAGATCCTTTACAGTACAAGTGTATCCAAAAGGATTTCCCCAAGGTATCCATTTTTCTGTTTTTATATTAAACTAACCCCATTAAATCTGTAGTAGTGAGAAGACAACTTTATAGGATTAAAAATTTAGGTCACTTTTGTGTTGTTAACCTTAGCATCATCCAAGAGCAAGCATATCTAAAAGTATATATGTTAATTCCATCTTGTTTCTAGAAGAATTAAATAAAACAGCAAAAATGACTTACTTGTATAATATATTGAGTGTTAGGTCAGAAATCTTAAATTTTTTAGAGATCTCTAGTTACTTTCTATCATTGCACGTGGAAAGCACTGTATTTCTGGTCAAATCCTACTAATCTAGTTCCCTTCCTCCCCCTTTTCTCTAATTATTTTGAAACTAGGAAAGTTTTATTTTCATGCTTTATCACAGGTCACCTTCAATAGCTTGTATTGTATACCTAAGTCTTTTAGACTATACATTCATATATAACCAAAAAAGCATACTCTAAGAATTTTCCAGGAACAGGAAACAAGAGGAAGAACAGATAATGAGAAAACACTTTGAAAATATTAAATAACTATATGAATTTCCATCAAAATAGACACAGAGAAGAAACTAGAATTTTTTGTAAAATAGAAGTAAGATATTCAGAATATATTGATAGAGGCAATTTCTTGAAAAGATTAAGGGATTGCTATTTTCTATAAAAGAGTAAATTTATTTCAAAAAAATTTTAGGAGAATAAATACTATGTATTATTTGTTATAGCCTCAATACCGCCAATCACCACAATTTAGTAGTACTATATTCAGTTGAGCATTTAAACCAAATATCTTGAGATACTAAATAAGAAAGGTGAAACGTCAGACCAGAAAAAAATGGAAACATCTCATCCTATTCTAAAATACAAATTTTATATCATTTTATAGTTTGTATCTTAAAACTCAGTTTAGAAATCTTAAGCATTTTTGTGTGGTTTTCATGGTTATATAAAGACTTTCTCCTTGCCTATAAACTTTTAAAAATATTATATTTAGAGTCAGTATTGCAGACACATTTTTGAATTAGCATTTTCTTCTCTTTCTTTTTTATAGTCCTCCTCAGCATTATTGGTGGCAAGCAATGGCCCAAAACATTCACAACTACAGTTATAAAATTTCACTTATTCTCTCACAATAAGAAAAATATATTAAAAGTGGAGAATATGGGGATCCCTGGGTGGCTCAGCGGTTTAGCACCTGCCTTCGGCCCAGGGTGTGATCCTGGAGTCCTAGGATCAAGTCCCACATCAGGCTTCCTGCATGGAGCCTACTTCTCCCTCTGCCTGTGTCTCTGCCTCTCTCTCTCTCTCTCTGGGTCTCTCATGAATAAATAAATAAAATCTTTAAAACAAAAGTGGAGAATACATGTATGTTATTAGGTAGGAAGATTACTGTACTACTCTGTAACCAGTTCCTCCAGAAATTTAGAAACTCAATCTTCATATATATATATAATGGTTACATAATTATTATTACTAAATAATACTGTATGTCAACTATACTTATATATATATATATATAAGTATACAAGTATATTCAGGTACAAAACATAGTGATTCAACATTTATATATTATGAAATAATCATTATGATAAAAATGTAGTTACCATCTACCATCATACAAAGTTAGTATATTGTTGACTATATACCCTATGTTGTTCTATACATTTCTGTGACTTGTTTTATAACTGGAAATTTGTACCTCTTAATGCTCTTCACTTATTTTGCCACTTGCCCCAACCCCTTTGCTCCAGCAACCACCTGTTTGTTTTCTGTATTTGTGAATATGTTTGTTCATTTATTTTGTTTTTTAGATTCTACATCTAAGTGAAATCATGTGTTGTTGTTCTCTGATATATATGCACACATATATATCACATTTTTATCCATTCATCTATTGATGGACACTTCCATATTTGGCTATTGTAAATAATGCTGTAGTGAACACAGGGGTGCATATATCTTTTTTGTTTTCTTTGGGTAAATACCCAGGAGTGGAATTGCTAAGCTGTATGATACTTCTATTTTTAATTTTTTGAGGAATTTCTATAGGGGCTGCACCAATGTATATTATGGGAAGGTTCCCTTTTCTCCATGTCTTCTCCAATGGTTGTTATTTTTTATATTTTTGATATTAGTCATTCTGACAGGTATGAGGTGATAATCTCATTGTGTCTTTTATTTGCATTACCCTGATAATTAACGATGTTGAGCACCTTTTCATATGCCTGTTGGCTACCTATATGTCTTGGAAAAATGTTTATTCAGGTCCTTTGCCCACTTTTAACTGGATTGTTTGTAGTTTTGGTGTTGAGTATATATATTTTGGATATTAACCCCTTATCAAGATATATTACTTGCAAATATTTTCTTCTATTCAGTAGGTTCCCTATTTGTTTTGTTGATAGTTTCCCTTCACTGTGCAAAAGCTTTTTAATTTGATATAGTCCTGATTATTTATTTTTGCATTTGTTCTTGTTGCCTGATGAGACAAAGCCAATTTTTTTTTTTTTTTTTTTTTTTTTTTTTTTTTGCTAATACCAATGACCAAGATTTACTGCCTATGTTTTCTTTTAGGAGTTTATGACTTTAGTTCTTACATTTAGGTCTTTAATCCATTTTCAGTTTATTTTTGTATATAAGAAACTGGCCCAGTTTCATTCTTTTGCATGTAGCTATTCAGTTTTTCCAGCACCATTTATTGAAGAGACTGTCTTTTCCCCATTGCATTTTCTTGCCTTTATCATAGATTACTTGGCCATATAAGTGTGGATTTATTTCTGGACTCTCTATTCTGTTCCATTGTTCTGGGTTTCTGGTTTTGTTCCAGTACCATATATAGTTTTGATTACCACAGCTTTGTAGTATAGTTTGAAACCTCAGAGTATGATACTTCCTGCTTTGTTTTTTCTTGATTGCTTTGGCTATTGGGGGTAGGTGCTTGGGCTATTGGGGCTGTGGTTTCATATAGATTTTAGGATTATTTGTTCTAGTTCTATGAAAAATACTACTGATAAGGATTGTGTTCAATCTGCAGATTGCTTTGGGTAGTATGGACAATGTTAATTCTCCCAATTCATGATTATGGTATGTATTCCCATTTATTTGTGTAATCTTCTGTTTCTTTTATCAAAGTCTTATAGTTTTCAGAGCACAGGTCTTTTACCTTCTTGGTTAGATTTATTCCTAGGTATTTTATACTTTTTGATGTAATTGTAAATAGGATTGTTTTCTCATTTTCTCTTTATGATAGTTTGTTGTTAGCACATAGAAACACAACAAATTTCTGGATATTAGTTTTGTATCCTGCAACTTTGCTGAATTCATTTATTAGTTCCAGTAGTTTTTTTGGTGAAGTCCTTAGGGTTTTCAACATACAGTATCATATCATCTGCAAATAGTAACAGTTTTATTTTTTCCTTACCACGTGGATGCCTTTTATTTCTTTTTCCTGACTGCTGTGTCTGAGACTCCCAGTACTATGTTGAATAAAAGTGACAAGAGTGGGCAGTCTTGTCTAGTTCCTGATCCTAGAGGAAAAGCTTTCAGCTTTTCACCATTTCAGCTATGATGTTAGCTGGGGGTTTGTCACATAGCCTTTATTTATGTTGAGGTATGTTCCCTCTATACCCACTTTGTTGAGAGTGTTTATCATAAATGGATATTGGATTTTGTCAAATGCTTTTTCTGCATCTGAGATGACCATATGATTTTTATCTTTCATTTTGCTAATGTGGTACATCACATTGATTTGTGGATATTAAACCATCCTTGCATTACTGGAATGATCTCAATCATGGTGTATGATCCTTTGGATTTATTGTTAAATTTGGTTTACTAATATTTTGTTGAGGATTTTTGCATCTATATTCATGTGGGATGTTGGCTTGGAGAGAGAGAGAGAGACTCTCTTTGGCATTGGTATCAGGGTAATGCTGGTCTTGTAGAATGAATTGGGAAGTGTTCCTTTTCTATTTTTTTGGAATAGTTTGAGAAGGATAGGTATTAACTCTTTAAATGTTTGGTAGAGGGGCACTGAGTGGCTCAGTCAGTTAAGCATCTGACTTGATTTGAGCTCAGGTCATGATCTCAGGGTCATGGGATTGAACCCTGCATTGGGCTCCACACTTGGTGTGGAGTCTGCATGAGATTCTCTCCTTCCCTCTCTGCCCCCCCCAGTCAATCAACCCCCCCATCAATCATATTCATATAGATATATATAATCATATATCATATATAATATGATTATATATATATCTTAAAAAAATGTTTGGTAGAATTCACCTGTGAGGCCATCTGGTCCTGGACTTGTTTGCTGGCAGTTTGCTGA